AAAATTAAATAAAATTTACGGCAGTTTGCACTTTTCTATACTAAAATTTAATGGGCTATAAAACTGCATATTCAAAAAAATTGTAAAAAAATTTTTTAAAAATTTGTAAGTTGGTAATGTACTCATTTTACTCAACTTCGGTGTAAAAAAATTCATAACTCAAATTATTGTAGAGTGCACCCCATAACATTATACTTAAATATTGCGCAATACTCAGAGCTACCATTGTGATTTTTTTCAATTTTTTTTGAAATGGCATAGTTTTAAAAACTAATTTTTTTTCGCAAAAAATTTGTATGTGGAAAATTTTTCAAGAAAAAATTAAAAAATATTTTTTCTCGTAGGGAATTTTGATGTGTGTATGTTTAATTTTATCGATAAAAACGTTTTAGCTGCGTATGCATGTTCACTTTGAGCAAATTGTGAACACTGGTTTGGGAAATCTTCGGTAGATTGGGCAAATCGATAATTGGGCCCCAATTGGGCCAAAATTAGAGCCCAATTGAGAAAAACTTTTGGCTCTGATCGGGCAACCTCAAAAAATTTCCAGCAAGGAAACTTTATCATAATGGGCAACAATTTTTGTGCCCTCAACTGGCACGAAAATCTTCTAGCATCATATAAGTGTATTTTCAGAAAAAAAAAATCATAATCGAAAACGATGAATTTTAGCATATGCTACTCGTACTGAAAATAGTTTATACTATTCCCTAATAGACAAAAAAGTTTGAGAGAAAAAAAAGATGTGGCAATTTGAAAAAAATCAATTTGAAAAAAATTTTTTTTTTGTTTATAAACAATAATCAATTATTAATAAACAATTACTAATGTTTAGTTCACCAGATCGATTCAGTAGATCAATATCTGCAATTAAAAAAAAAAATCGTTAAAATCCTTGCTTTTTTGCTGCAGTTATAAACAATTTCATCAAAACTTGCTATTAAGAGACGAAAAAAGGAGCGTTCGTACTCAAAAAGCAAACAATTCATTATTCGAAAAATTCGCATTTCTGAGCAAAAAGAAAAAATACGTGTCTCCTAAAATTTTTCAAGGAACAATCCCTGTGAGTTTTATGGAAAACTTAAATTCACTTTCCCCCGGCCTGGGTGATTTGAGATGGAATGAGCCATATGTATATGGTGGTAAGAATTTCGTAAAAAGAGACGATGAAACAGGAACAGTCGTGCGAAAACCCAGGTCAATATCTGCTGGAAGTGCTGGTTTAAGTATACTGCTTTGCTTTTTCCTTGGGTAAATAGATACTTTCAAATTATAATTCACATGAATTACATATCCACTGAGAAACCCCGGTTGGCATCAAACTTTATATTTTTAAATAACTATGCGCACACCGAAACATCTCGCGGCGATGGCAAAACTGAAACTGAGACAAACAAGTCTGGGCATGTCATAGCACACACTTTTCTTTCTCTACCTAGTGCAGTGATCGATATGCCATAGCTTACTGAGCGCTTTGTGACCACACGAGTGTTTCACCCATATACGAACAGCGGTAGCGAAGCATACATCTTTAGTTGTCAAAACTAATCCTTTTTCTCAGTGTACCCAATGGTTTATTTAACCATTTCTAATACTAACGATTTTTTATTGGTCGCCCCATTGCTTTTTTCGGGGGGTTTATGGGTTTTTGCGGACATATAAATTATGGTTGCAGTGAAAAAATGGTTAAATAAACAATTGGGTATTGTTATTGGGAATCTCCTGCAGATAAACAGAGTTTTCTGGTATTTTTAACTATTCTATACCATTTCTACGAAAAGTTGTTTTTTCCCCATATAAAACACATGGAAAACTTTGGGCGCTTTGAGCGACCTCTAAATATTTTTTGATTTCAAAGTAAAAAAAGGGTTAATTTTTTTTTGGTTTAGAACAATTCTAGGGGGGTGAGAGCATAAAAATTCCAACTTTACTTTTTCCCCACATGTATTTTTGGACCACCCTAATGTACATACATATCAATTATCAAGTGAAAAACGAAAGCTATATAAAGAGGAAAATCACCAACAAAAAGTAAATAATCTTCAAACTATCCTCAAATAATCTTGAAAGAAAATAAAACACGAAGTGGATCAAGTGGCAAAATTACTGTCGGACTGAATACTGTGAAGTGAATTATTGTAATACGATATTGATTAACTACATAATACAAAAGGAGTAATAAAATGAAAAATTAATATTTAAGTTCATCTATGTATGTCGTTTCAATCAAAAAGGTATAAGGTATTTTACTATGTCAATTTCAGTATTTTAATGATATGTTTGAGACCAATGGGAGTTACATTGGAGTTCAAGTTGAGAACTAGTATTTTCTTAACTTGAGAAACAGTCCTTTTTTCATAAAAAGAAAAATTCCCTTTTTGTTGACAACGCTATGATCTTCCACTTGAGGTACTGTTGAGAAACAGCGTTGGAGATTTGGGTTGGGTTAAGTTACGCTAATTGTAAGGTTTTGGTATGATTATTACAACATAAGGGTTAATGCACAAGTCTACACAAACGTAGCGATTGTAATTTGACATTCCTCTTTTTGCTTTGTTCGTAACACTTAACTATAACTAGTTTATATGAACTTATTAAACTCTCGTCTAGGAGAATTCATTTAGTACTCGACCCGCTTACACGTTCGCCGCCGCTCAGTAACTTTTCGTTAGTTGTACCCGCATTTTCTATATTAGTGAAAACCCGCGCCTGAATATTTAGATACATTAGTTTAAGTAAACTAAATAAAAGGAACTGAATTCCGAGATACTCCGCGTTTTATTTGGTCATTTATTTGGAAGGGAATCCGCCGCATCAAGCTGGTCCTTCGAACCGGATTGCTAATCCCGCTCGCATACAATTGTGTAATACGAACACATATATATACAAACGTGTATAAGCGAAAATTTACAAAATTCTAGTGATTTTAAATAAAGTGCAATCGAGAATTAAGCGAAAAATACATATCCTGTAAAAATCAAAATTTACAAGATACGTAAGTGCATTGCGCGCTAAATAAATAAAGCTAAGTTTTAATAATTGACGGCTAAATTTAAAATCTAAAACAGCAAATAGTTTGTGCAGTTTGCGAAAAAGAAAGCATATTAAGAGCATAAATTCGTCCGTGGCATTGATACAATCGTCCTTCATTTGACTTTACGAAATTTCGAGACTTATAACGTCCTTCAATCGACCTTTGCAAGTGCTATATATCGGAACTGTGTCCTACGAACGACTCGGGAAAGGCAAAATGGAAAATGTCGAACTCCGTTAAAACTCGCGATTCAGCTCTCAATGCAATCAAACGCTATATGGTTAAGAGCACTGACGAGGCATTCACAACGGATGCAGAAAGTGTAAAAAGTTATATGCAACTGCTTAGCGAACAGTGGGCTCGATTCAATAGTGCTCAAGATGCGGTCGAAGTTTCGTGTGGAAGTGACAACACTGAAGTTGAAGAAAATGTGCGTATACAAGCCGAGGCGTGGTTTTCTACGGCGTTGGCTAATTTTAACCGTGTACAGAAGTGTCGGGCAGACTCACAGCATCCGTCCGCGCCAACAACTGTGTCGGCAGGCATGCGGCTCCCTAAAATGGAGCTGCCCACATTCTCTGGCGACTCCACAGAATGGATCGGTTTCTCTGACGCTTTTTCCTCGATAGTTGACTGTAACGCCGCATTGTCAAATGTACAAAAGCTTCACTATCTGCGAATTTGTTTAAAGGGTGACGCGTTGAAAATAATAAGTGGCTTTAAAATATGCGATGCCAATTACGAAGAAGCATGGGACTTATTAAAATCGCGTTATAAAGTCATGCGTGTGATTGTTGAGGGGCATCTCAGAGCTATGGCCGATGTTAAGAGTGCGGCTAGTGATACTGCTGACGCAATTAAAAGAGTGCTTGACGAGTTTCAGCAGCACATACGTGAACTTAAGGCTTTAGGTCGTCCAGTACAGTTTTGGGACGATTGGCTTGTACATGAAGTTGTGAGCAAACTAGCATTCCAGACGCGAAAGTAGTGAGAGCTATCACTCGTGAGTGATGAGCCCCCAACGTTCGAACAATTGTCCACATTTTTAGAAGTCAGGTGTCGATCTCTGGCTATGCTTTCTTCGTCAGCTACAGCAGTACCTCCGAAAGGCAAAACGTCTTCAGAGAGCAAATCGACAAGACTTTTTCATGCAGTGCAAACCCAAAATAGCTCGAGTTGTACATATTGTAAAGGGCCGCATAAAATATATAGTTGTGAGCAGTTTCGTGATTTAGACGCAAACGGTAAATCAAAATTAGTTAGAGACTCGCGCGTGTGTACGAACTGCCTCAGCTCAGGCCATTACAAAGCGAAATGCAATAGCGCGTCCGCATGCAGGGTTTGCCATCAACTCCGTCACACGTTGCTACACAATACCGCTTCTACAACCAAGGTCACAACAACAGCTGATTTAGTCAACAACGTATCTGCTGCTATGCCGTCCTCCCTAACCGCAAACACCGTACCGCAACCAAACGCAACTGCTTCTCCTGTTGGTGATCCTTCCGCATACATTGCTCCCACATGCATTTCATCGTGTATGAATTCCAATTTAAACCCACCGAAACCAAAAGAAAGAACGGTACTATTGGCAACCGCCTTCGTCAAAGTACGCGATTGTTCCGGTAACTGGCAACCCGCTCGCTTGTTGTTCGATTCTGGCTCGCATGCCTCCTTCATAACCGAGGCGCTAGTTCAATGTTTGGGTCTACCACGAAAGGCGTCTGCAGTTTTCATCACTGGAATTGGGTCGTCGCAAGGAGGTCGTTCAAGAGGTGACGTACTACTTTCCCTGTCATCTTTTTGTTCAGGTCAATATTACAATGTCAACGCATTGATTTTACCAAAAATCGCGAGCGAATTGCCAACACAGTTGTTAGCAGTTTCAGCTTGGCCGCATGTGCAAGGCTTGTTCCTTGCCGATCCGCAATTCACGAGGCCTAGGCGTATCGACATCTTGATAGGTATGGATGCCATGGATCAGCTTCTTTGCGCTGAGTTCCGTAAAAGTCCACCTGGTACGCCGATGGCTCAACGTACAGTTTTCGGTTGGACGCTGTTTGGCAGCGTTGACGGAATCGAAACTGCTCCGTCTCGTCTGCAGTCGCTGTATTGCGACGTACAGCTGGATAGAGCGCTTACCCGATTGTGGGAGCTGGAAGAAGCACCACAAAAGACCCATCTCACTGACGACGAGCGTTATTGTGAAGACTTTTTCGAAGCAACGCACCGCAGAGCACCGGACGGTCGATTTGTAGTGGAGCTGCCACTAAAATCTGACGTTCCCTTGGGAGATTCACGAAATAATGCTGTTCGAAACCTACTAAGACTTGAGAGAAGATTTTCACGAGACGAAAACTTACGCCTGCGCTACAATGAGTTTATGCAGGAACTCATCGAGATGAAACATATGGAGCTTGCACCAGAATCATCAAACCAGACGTTTTATATGCCGCACCATCCTGTAGTAAAGAAGTCCAGCCTCACGACTAAGCTGAGGGTTGTGTTCAACGCATCCGCTAAATCCGCCACCGGAAACTCGTTAAATGACGCCTTATTTGTAGGTCCCCAATTGCAGCAAATTTGTTTTCGATTTTAACGCGCTTCAGAACGCATCGTTACGCAGTAACTGCGGACATTGCAAAAATGTACCGCCAAGTCTGCGTATCGCTGAAACATGTAGACTCACAACGAATTATCTGGCGTCGTGATCCCTCTTTGCCAATACAGGATTATCGCATGTTACGTGTGACTTACGGTGTGGCAGCCGCGTCCCACCTTGCAGTCAAATCGCTACAAGAAACCGCAAAATGTTCGTCGAACGTTTCTGAGAAAGCTGCCTTCGTCATTCTCAACGACTTTTACATGGACGACCTCCTCACTGGTACAGCTTCCAAAGCAGAGTTGATACTTTTGCAAAAAAACGTATCCGGAATACTCCAGCAAGGTGGCTTTGAACTCCGAAAGTGGGCGTCGAGCTGTGCCGAGTTTAGCGAATATATTTCGAACGCGTCGAAGACTATATCGCACTATCTGGTCGAGGGTAAAGATGTTCACGCTTTGGGATTAATGTGGAACACCGAGGACGATTTCTTGACGTTCACAATTAGCATGAAAAAACCGCCCGCGGCCTTAACGAAAATAACTTTTTTATCGGACGCCAGCACGCTTTTCGACCCGCTGGGACTGCTTGCTCCAGCGACGATAAGATCGAAGATGTGGTTTCAGGAGATTTGGCGCAATAACGTTGGTTGGGACGACCTTATTCCCGACTCCATTGCAACAAAATGGTTGGAGCATCGATCGGAGCTGAAGCTAATTTCAAATTTAAAGATTTGTCGCTGGCTTGGTCTAGGAACGACGGGTTCATCAAAAACCAAGGTAGCGCCGCTCAAAACAACAACATTGCCGCGACGAGAGCTGTGCGCTGCGCATCTAGCCGCCAAACTAGTACGAAGCGTTCTACACAGTTGGGGTAATCCCCGCTATCCGCTGTATGCATGGACAGACTCCACCATCACGTTGGCGTGGCAACAAGATCACCCTAGCAGATGGATTACCTTCGTCGCCAACCGTGTTGCTGACGTTCAAGAAATCCTGCCTCCAGAGTGCTGGAACCATGTTCGCTCAGAGATGAATCCAGCAGATTGTGCCTCGAGAGGTGTAACCCCGTCCGAGCTACTGCGTCAACAGCTTTGGTGGACTGGTCCTGAATTTCTGAAGGGTCCAGACCAGTTCTGGAAGAAACCGTCACCAAAACATCACACAACCGAGTTGGGTATTCGAAGCAAGGTTGCTGCTCACATCACGACTTCCAGCGGGCATTGGTCAATAATGACGAGGTTTTCGTCGTACTCAAAGCTGCGCCGCATCATCGCTTACGTTTTGAGGTTTTTCGTCAACGCTCGGGCGAGTGCTTGACTCAATGCTGCTAAGCTATTTGGTCCTCCTAGTTGTAAGGAGATATCCGAAGCTGAGCTGCATCTGATCAGGTATACGCAAACATTCTATTTTCCTAACAAAATTTCTCTTTGTAGCTCAAAAAGGCCGATTCCGCTTCGTAGCAGTCTTTTGCGTTTGCAACCATATCTGGACGAAAAAGGCGTCTTGCGCGTTGGAGGAAGACTGAAGAATGCTGAAGTAACCCCTGACGTGAAACACCCCATCGTCTTGCCAAAGAATTATCCGCTTGCGAAGATGATTATCTGTGAGATACACGAGTTTACACTACACGCTGGGCCCCGCATCATGCAGACAGTCTTGCAACACCGATATTGGGTTATTGGCGCCCGCAGCTTAATCCGCAGCATTTACCACAAATGCGTGAAATTCACCTTGTTTAACCGCAATCTCGCCACACAGTCTATGGGAGACTTGCCTGCAGCTCGAATTACGTATGCACGCTGTTTTACACGCACCGCTGTCGATTTCGCTGGGCCCTACAAGTATAAATTCACCCATGGAAGAGGGGCGAAGGCTACAAAAGGCTACATTTGCTCATTTGTCTGCATGTGCACTGGCGCGATGCATTTAGAATTTGTTGGAGACCTGTCAACGCTAGGGTTTCTTAATGCCTTCAAGAGGTTCATAAATCGCAGAGGTTATTGCAAGCTTATGACGTCCGACAATGGCACAAATTTTGTTGGTGCCGAGAAGGAGTTGCGGAGTGCGTTTCAAAAGTGCATGGCCGATACCAGACTACGCTCATTTTTCGCGGACTCCAAAATCGAGTGGCGTTTCAATCCCCCGTCTGCGCCTCACATGGGAGGTTACTGCGAAACTGGTATCAAGCGAACAAAGTATCATCTTAAACGCGTACTGGGCGAAACTCTTCTGTCTTATGGAGCGTTCAACACGCTGCTGACAGAAGTGGAAGCTTGCGTAAACTCCCCCCCGCTCTGTGACAACTCTACATCTGTTGATGACCTAGAAGCTCTAACTCCCGGTCATTTCCTTGTCGGTGAACCGCTGAAATCACTCCCAGAACCTGAGGGCCAAGGGTTCTGTGGCAGTCTTCGTCAGCAATGGGATGCGATCTCTGCCATAAGACAGCATTTCTGGCGACGATGGCGAGACGAGTACCTTGTCAGTTTACAGCGTCGCTCAAAGTGGTTTCGTTCCTCACGCAACGTCGAAGAAGACGATGTGGTCGCAATTTTCAACGAGCCTACTCCGCCGACAAAGTGGAAGATGGCGAGAGTTATAAAATGCCACCCCGGTACAGATGGACTCGTACGAGTGGTCACTTTGCAGACGCCAAATGGCGAATTGGTTAGACCGATCGTGAAGCTTTGTGTTCTGCCGACGAAAGGCGACTTGTTCTGCGAAGAAGATCCAGAGACGTGAAGTATGCACATTGGCATTAAGTCATACCTTTTAGTATTTTTGCATTGTTAATTAATTTGCCTAATTTTCCACACTGTAATTGTAGTTCAAATGTTGAACTTATCATGGTTAGTTCAAGGGCGGCGGCATGTTGGGTTCAGTTACGCTAATTGTAAGGTTTTGGTATGATTATTACAACAAAAGGGTTAATGCACAAGTCTACACAAACGTAGCGATTGTAATTTGACATTCCTCTTTTTGCTTTGTTCGTAACACTTAACTATAACTAGTTTATAAGAACTTATTAAACTCTCGTCTAGGAGAATTCGTTTAGTACTCGACCCGCTTACACGTTCGCCGCCGCTCAGTAACTTTTCGCTAGTTGTACCCGCATTTTTTATATTAGTGAAAACCCGCGCCTGAATAATTAGATACATTAGTTTAAGTAAACTAAATAAAAGGAACTGAATTCCGAGATACTCCGCGTTTTATTTGGACATTTATTTGGAAGGGAATCCGCCGCATCACAAGTTAAGCTCAAACCTAAATGTTTTTGGGATAGAACACTTTTTTATTTGGTGCTAAGCAAGAGATATTTAGGAACATAAAACATCATTTCATTTGTACTAAAATGCACTCTTTTGCTCTCAATGCATAAGAACTTATATGATAGGTATGTATGTATGTATAAATAAGACTTGCGATATTTGCATTTGGCATTTGTATTTTTTTATTTAATGTTTATTATTATTTTTTTATTAAAGTCTACCAGATCCAACAAACACCATATAGGTAAATTCAGATTTCAAACTTTGTCCAAAAATTAGAAAAATTCTACTTATTTTCACCAAAATTTCAAACCTTTTAATCAGAATTTTGGTATGCAGTTTTGTAGACCATTCAATTCTAGTATAACGAAGTGCAAGTTTCAAGCTGCTATAACATCCCGTGAATTTTCGGCAATTTTTTTTTTGCTGGCAGTGTTCTCCATATAAACGAAAATTGTCGACCATACTTTTGTATGAAAAAAACGTGAAACACCTTCAACCAAAAAAATGCATTTTTGTGAGCTCTCTGCAAATGTTTTTGTCGCTGCACCTTAGGGTTGCTAGATTTGTTATGCGGGAAATCAGTACGTTAGACTTTTTCGTGCTAAAAAAATCAAGACTTTTCAGTACACAATATTTTGGTATATAGTTAAAATATAGTTCATAAAAAATAAAATGTTATTCATTTTAACATGAGTGTACACACCATTGTACACTAGGGTGGTCCAAAAATGCATGTGAAAAAGTAAAGTCGGAATTTTTATGCTCTCACCCCCTAGGATTGTTCTATACCGAAAAAAGTATACCCTTGTTTTTTATTTTGAAATCAAAAAATATTTAGAGGTCGCTCAAAACGCCCAAAGATTTCCATGTATTTTATATGGGAGAAAACAACTTACAACTTCGTAGAAATTGTATACAATCCTTAAAAATCTATATTTTTATATCGGAAAACTCTGTTTATCTGCAGGAGATACCTAATAATAATACCCAATTGTTTATTTAGCCATTTTTTTATCGCAACTATAATTTATAGGTCCGCCAAACACCCACAAAAACCCCGAAAAATGCATTGGGAGGATCAACAAAAAATCGTTAGACTTAAAAAATGGTTAAATAAACAATTATTGAAAGTCTCCTGAAGACAACTAGAGTTTTTCGATCGAAAAATATTGATTTTCAAGAATTATATATCATTTCTACGAAAAGTTGTTTTTTTTTTATATTAAAATACATGGAAAACTTTGAACGCTTTGAGCGACCTCTAAATATTTTTTGATTTCAAAATAAAAAATAGGGGTATACTTTTTTCGATATAGATATAGGGGGTGAGAGCATTACAATTCCGAATTCACTGTTTTTGGACCACCCTATTGTACACAGTAGCCAATAAATTATTTTATATTTATGACATTTTTGAATAGCAATAATGAGATCATTTCCGTTTTCAATGTTTAAATAGTCCAAGAATTCTATGCATTTAATTTTAAAGTTACTTTTAATTTGAAGTTCAGTTTCAAAAATTTTAATTAGAAGCCGGTTTCTCCCTTTGCGCAAGGAAGCAAACCTTATACTTAAGATCCTCTCAGTTGCTTCGTTTGAGTGTGGTATTGAAAAAAAAACTAAATATTTCTTCAAACTGTTTAAAAGTACCACTTTTTAAGGATTTCCTCTGTGTTTCCTCGTGGAAAGTCTAAGAATGTGCTAAAAAGAGTAAATAACTCTATGTCTTGTATCCAAAACACTTTTACAATGTCAGGAAATTGAGAAGAAAGAATTTTAAAGCTGAATTTACATGAGGCGAATTTTTAGGCGATTCAACATTGCTCAAGAAAAATCGCTCGTGTAAATGGTGATTCAAAAATCGCTTGCCTCAAAGTAGACAGAAAGTCAACTTTTGCAGGCGATTAGCGCCTCCCAAAAAATCGTCTCATCTAAAGGCAGCTTAAGTTATAGACCAAAGCCATTCGAATATTCAAATTTACTGTTATTAAACTGAAAGATATTTTCGAGATAACTAACAACACTCGACAAAAAAACATCAGCCTTCTTTATAAATAATTTAAGCTGTCATATTATCGCAACTGGTACGTAACGACCCAGCGATATGCCCATAAAACTATTGCTATTTGTGTTGTGTTAATTTCTTGGGCATATCAAACATTATCTAAAACATGTCAACTATAGTTAAATAATTTTTTTCTTACTTTTTACAGTACAATTTAAGGAAGTTCCAACGTTATGTAAAAACCTTAAGACAATCCTAAAATATTTTGTTTGAATTGAATTTCAGTACATATCAGTACACATTTTGAAAAATCAGGACATTAGCGTACTGATTGAAGAAATTAATAAAATCAGTACAAGAGTTGAAAAATCAGTAGTGTACTGATAAAATCAGTACGTCTGGCAACCGTACTTCACCTGAACATATGAAAGGAAATTCCAAATAATCGGCAAAGAATCGGCAAAAAAAGGCCGATGCCGATGCTCAATTTTGTGACGATACTAGCCGATACCGATTAATGGGTCGGACTCTACTTATATGAATTTTGTTCTTGAGCTGGTAAGGATGTCATGGTCTAAGGAAGGCTGCAAGGCTCACTATCCAGGTCTGTAAATCGAATCTTGGTGGATTTGTTGGTCAATTAATTGTGCAAGATACAACATGATCTGACAAAAAGATCACACGTTTTGAGTGATACCTCCATTGGACGATGAAATACTCTGAACCGCGATGCAAGTCTTCCAAATGCCATTTCAACAGTCATTCGGGCTCTACTCAATCTGTAGTTGAATATTTCATCTGAAGTACTGAGGTTACCAGTGTTTAAAAAACTTAAGTCGAAGTAGCAAAAGTAATAAAATTTTCGCTTCTCACTGCTTCGACTTATTGTAACTGTTCAAAATTTACTTATTGCTTGTGCTTACGCTTATGAGACAAGACGACAGTCGCAGTCGAAGCTCAAGCAAAAACTGATTGCCGACAAAATGCGCAGAGCTGCTGGCAGTCGTTGGTTTAACAGTCGCAGTCGAAGTTCAAGCAAAAACTGATTGCCGACAAAATGCGCAGAGCTGCTGG